GCCCTTTCCACACACGCAACCACCGTTGATGCGGAGCAAGAACAAACAAGTTCATGGACTGACCCCATAATAAAGTAGTAGGTTGTACCCTACTTTACTTTCCATTGTGTGAGAGCATAATACGAAGTTCGTGTCCGAAATTAGTGCAATTATTCATTCCAATCCCTTTGCATTTCGATATCTTGCCAGCGTACTCCACAAGTTAGCCAATCATTAAAGATTTCGAGCAAGCAAAACTATGAGAATTTTGGTTATTTTACCCACATTCACATAGGTTGTGTTTATAAGGGTATGGCCAAAGGAACCAATAGCTTCAGGCTGTCAGCATCTCCCAGAGATCCATTCAACGCATTTTCATAAGCACACTGACGGATTTAATCCGCTTGGTCAGTAAGTTCCTAATCCTTCCACAGCCCATGCTAGAGCCTAGTCATCTCAGTAAACTTCTTATGCTATTTTGCAGCGGAGTCAATGGTTGAACTAAGGCACTCAGACGGTGGCAATGGCAACTGATCCCTCTTAAAGGGAGTCAATTATGATTTGGTGTGTTTGTTTTTTTGTTGTTTTATAGTCATATACTAAGATAAATACCTTAGTAAATCATTTGAAGCAGAAATTTAAAATGCTGCGACAATCCCTCATCAGAATGTGAGCTGGTGGTCCTATTGGGTTACCACAGATTTGGCTTTTGAAGTGCTGCATTCTTGTGGACGTGGGTATGCTGCTTTATAACGAAAAAACACAACCTACGTTAATTTGCACATTAATGAGGTAAGTGAAAGTTATGTTTATAAATTCATAACAACAACATGCACACATGGTGAATTTATCTGCAATGAACCTTCGATAAAAATCAAGACCCAGATGTCGTTATTGGGAGGGATTGAAAGACTCCGTCACGTTTGGGTAAGTATTCTCATTTAGTATATCATGCGTTAAGTGATGCAGCCTTTGGCAATCACAAACACGTGTACATACAGACGTGTAGTATGTGAACATCGGCCACATAATCAGGAAATAAAGCCATCTACCTGATTTTGAGCCGTCCGCAAGAGGAGTATGGTAAAACTTTGGTTTGGAAGCAGCATTGTCACTCTCAGTCTCCGTGGCCGTCTCCGTGTCTGGTTTGCTGAGGATATGCTCCACCCTGAAGGAAGCCATGATGAGTCGCCGTCAAGGGGTCTCGGCCTAGCCAAGTGCACGGTGCCTCGCAGAGTCCTCCTCGCAATTTCTGCATGTGCGGGCGTACCTGTCCCACTCGCTGCATGTCCGTCCCACTCACGCAAGCTCACTCGCGCGTGAGTGGGCGTAATCAGCTGATTAAGCGCGTGCGTGTATGCAGTGCGGATGTGTGTGCGTGCGGGATTAACTCACGCACTCACGCATGCATGCTTGAGCAGGTAGGGCGGGAGAGCCTGATGCATGCACGTGCTCACCGCACAATTAGGATGTTTAGGTGCGCCGCAGCGAGTAAGGGCTCTCGTGATGGCTTTTTAAACTAATTATCCTCCACCCTCGGTGCTCAACCTGCCACAGTCTCGAGGACGGTGGCGGCAGGGGGAAGTTATAATTCGTCTGAGTCAATAAACCGCACTAGGACACAGGGATTGCGGCGGTGGAGGCGGAGACTGAAAATTCACTCAAGCAATTTAATCGCTTGTGCGTGCGCCCACACACTCCGCCTCTCGCTTTAACTCTCTCGCTCGCTCGCTCTCTCACTATCTCTCTTTCTCGCTCCCTCCAAACGTTTGCGTGTGGGCAACAAACGGCGCTAGTTCCACGCACTCAAGCGCTGGGAGAATCATCAAAATTTAGGCGGCACATGCCTTTCATTAAAAAGCAGTCACTAATCGTTGTGATGTATTTGTGTGCCTATTTTTAATTTAACGCTCCATTGAGTCGCAAGCATGACTCATGCCGCAATTACTCCCTTTCTCCTCGAGTTAAATGTGGGATATGAAAGAGTGATGATGTCACAGCCTCTCCTTCCATAAAGTTTCCTTTTATAAAAATCTGACTCACTAAATAATGCTGTCGACTACGAGCCTAGCTTATGAAAACGCATCAGAAGAACCGCTCTTTCAGTGGTCACGGTTTTGATTAACTTACCGCTTCCTTTATGCTGTAGATATACTCAGTTACTTCCAATTTGGCTACATCTTCGACCAAGGCAACAAAAATGCAAATTTAGAGTCTCAGTAAAGTCCACATGGATTAGCTAAGAGTCTATAGATGCCATTTTATGATAGCTGAAGTAACAGGTCAAATAAAACTACAAAAGTATTTCCACTCCCTTGACTTGTAAATGAGGAAAAGAGATTGCGTCGAAAGTTGAAGGTAATCGTTTGATTCTCATTTTGTGTTTATAGCTGTATGAGTTAATGCTTGGTCTTGGTTTTTATTTAATCTCCGAGGCTTATCGAAAGAGTGTGGCCCGAATGAGTTACCTTCCTTTTCGTTTTACGCATGCAGAAATGGTAACACGTCGCAGTGCCTTCGTCTACTGGCCAGCTTAAAACGAAAGGTTGAAAAAAAAATCCAACCAAGGTTGTACTAAGCACCAATGAAATCTCCTGAGAAGATTGTTTTCAAATGGCGTGAAAGTGATTTTCATTTTGTAAAGAATTCCTTAATGGGGTATCTAGAAGGCAGTTCGCAGCCTTTAAGCTTTCAGTAAAACATCTCATATTATTTTTTATTGTTTTGCTTCATAACCTCTGCCGGTTGCATAGCGGTCTTGATCATAACTTTTGCCTTCTCTTAAGTAAGCAGATGATTTTGCGAAGTGGTCAATGGGTCAGAGCTTCGCAACTCTCTGGGGTAGAAAACCCCCTTTGATGCGCATTTTATTATCCACCACAAAATTCACCTTCAACGGTTACTTTAGTAGTTATAGAACCAATTTTTAGTAGTCAAAATTCTTTTCCTTGATTTTGCAAACGCTGTATTTGCTGCCATTGGCCACAAGCAAGTGCTGTCCATGTTAATAGCACACCTTTGTAGCAACTGCACCGAGTTCGAAGCTTGTAATGGGCATAGCTGGCCATAGCCTTTCGTGTTAGTGCACTCTCACTTCAGATGGTTGTGTCGAAATGGTTTGACAGACATTTGGTTTCTCGAATGTTGGTAGAATTGGGTCCAGCTGCAAACACGCAGCACCATTCACGAATCCAGATTGCATCTTCGTTGTCATTAAATGTTCCATCATTTGCCAAATAATCCCATCTAAAATGACTCCTGAATGCTTTCTAGGCATTTGACCAAACACCTATTTAAGATCAGGCATAAGGGCTGTGATATTTGCTTGCCTCTTTTAATGCTCTAAGAACTGTTTGCAGTCGCTGCGAGTGTAATTGGAATGTTTATATCAAGTTTATCTGGTGTCCACGCTGGTTTTAGCACCTACATTTAGCTATGAAACTAACAAAGAGGTCAGATATGAAAGCACGCCCAAACGCCGTACCTTTTAAGGGCAAGAAATCGAGACGAAGCTCGCGGTGATATTTACAAGCATGAAGCACTGGTGTTCCTGTAAGGATATGCAAACGCGCGTGTAGAAAGCCAAGACCAACTTTAAGTGGACCACCGGGAGGGGAATACTCAGGGGAGGATACTGACACGCACGCTCACAAAAAGGATAGTTGTGAGTGAATAGGCAAGGCATCCGCTACCTGCTGGAAGAAAAAGCTATGATGCCGACACTGTACGCTTCAAGTGTGTTCTCCAGTGGGAGGGCGATACGCTTAATCAAGCAATTTGGAAGAACCACAAAAGATTTTTTTGACAGTGTTTTGGGTAAATTCATGATTTTGTGCAGAGACAACAAAACGCAGTTGCAATGCCAACTTACACACTGGATTGGAATGACGTCGAAACTGCTGCAAAGGCAGTACCATCATTACTTTACTAAAATTATCCATAAAAAAATCCACTAGAGGTTGATCAAGTTTAAAAGACCAGTTAATAGCACTTGTCAATAGGGTTACCTGCAATTCCCAGTTGACTACTGCCAGGAAACCAGTGAAATGCATACCGATTCAGAAGATACTTTAGTAGTCGTAACTGCAGGGCTCTTTGTGATGTCAAAAGGCAACAATACAGACTTATTAGGTTCGTTGCAGTTCCGATAGAGGCTTAAGTTGGATGAAAAGCTAGCAACTTCTTGCTGAAGGTGGTGATAGAGCAAATCGAGTCAAATTTTGGGAAAGAGATGCTTGTACTAGCATTCATATGAACATTATCTAAATGTATTGGGAATGAATTTACGAATTTGAGAACCAACAACGTGGTTATCTAACAGCTGTGTTTTGTAGAAGTGGAAAGTTCCACAGACTTATCTTGCCTATTCATGCCGTTATGGTTGATTGTAAAGAATGTGACGTTAAGCATAATGAATTTTTCTGTAAGAATCCAAAAGTATTCCTTCAAGACTCACTAATCTCAAAATATACCTATGCAGTAGACATTCAGACACCGGCAAGGTTGTGATAACATACAAGATGGATCCAAAGTAAAACAAACAGTAAAACTGTTTAATATTGCTTTGAAGACTGAGAAGGTAACTACCAAAAGCCATTCCTACAATGGGTTTATAATAAACTCTCATTCGTAAACTTTTTTAACGCTGAGGAATAGGTGATAAATAAGGTGACTGTAAATTTTTTTCTTTATGCGAATAACCCATGGTATCGAGTCGTGCCAATAATGATGCGAGGTCGACCAATGGCAGATTAGCTCGAGGTTGCCATTGGTTAATCTATATAAACTAATAGAAACTCCAAAGCTCTAATGACATTTGCTGCAAGGTTCTATTCAGATCAATGGTGCATTAAGATCAGTAAGATTGATTTCAGATTAAAATGCATTTTCTGTCATCTCGTGTCACACGCGCACGTACACAAACCCATCTCGATAAATTTCACCTGCGTTTTTTACAACTGGGAACCCTCGTAAGTCTAAGCTCTTAGATGACAAGTTGGCGGAGTAATTAACTTTAAGAGGTGCAGTATTTGAGTGAGTGAGTGAGTGAGTGAGTGAGATTTAAGAGAGGATAAATCCAGCCACTGTATGACTGCGCACGCGTGCGTGTGCTCTCCCTGTCCATTTGTGGTCAGTTAATTTAATGGTTTTCCGGTTGCACCTTCGCAAACGCGCGATTTAATTATTTTAATCATCAAATTATCCGCCACCCTATTCTCCCTCCCTCCTTTCCACCCCACCAACTCACCGTTTCTCTGCTATAGCTGCTGTCGCCGTTTTGCGGGTTGGAGGGAGACAGGCAGCCAAGCAGGGGCAGGGAGACAAGATTAGCATCTCAACCGGGTGTTAATGGCCCACTCCCTATCACACCCTTACACTGCCTTAATTTGAAAATGGTTGTGCCATGCCGCTTTCTGCGCCCACAGCGCTGAGCTGAGGGCTGGTTGTGATGGGGTGGCGACCACAAGTGTAGAGAGAGGGAGTGAGTGAGAGACGGGAGCGAGATAATAATGTCTAATTGCGTGAATTCTCTTCTCTACATACACATAAACTGCGGGTGTGCGGGTGCGCAGTTAAGTTAGCAACCTTCTACACCTTGCCCCCTTCCCCTCTCTCGCCTTCCCTACATCCTCTGGTATCGAGCGACTTGAAAATTGACAGGCAGAGATTAATTTGGAACACGCGTGCGAAGCACACACATGCGGCGGTTAGACCAGATAATTGGACTTTCGCCCTGAGAGAGGCCGAGAGCTGGAGTGAGAGAGGGAATGAGTGAGAGGACGAGCGATGGGGACCAATTAAGCTAAATGAGATGCGCACGTGCGCACGCGTTCTCGTGGACACACGCTCTCATCTAATAACGCATACTCACATACATACAAACGCGCACACACACAAACACCGACAACGGTTCCACATCATTAATTAGTGGTGCAGAGCGCACGCGCGCACACACGCATACACACACGCCCAGAGCTATTAGGAATTAATTAAGGGTAAATGGGAGCAGAGACGAGAGAAACGCGGCCGCGACGTCATCACGGCAGCTTGAAGAGCTTGCGATGTTCCAAGGGGGTGGTTGCAGTTCATACTTTGTTTCGTTACCAATACACCAACTACGGTGTAAGTGGTCATTAATTAAACCGACGGTAATTGGAGGGGACAAGCCAATAAGTAATGGGGCTAGTAGGAGGTTGTGAATCAATAATTAAGATTGAGGGTCTCATACGCCCTTTATTCTCAACTACCTACCCCACAAATATAGTCGATGCATGTTGGTCTGATATAATATTCGTATAAACTCGAATTTATAATTTGAGTGCGAATTTTGATTACAAAAAATCCATCAAACTGATTGCAACACTTCCATTGCAGAAGTTGAAGGGGCAGAAGCCAAACTGCGGTCACCTATATTGTCGTTGAAAAGCTTTTAAGCTTATCTCAAGGAAAATCTGACAATAAATTCTATCCTCGCGCTTCGTTTGTCCGCTAAAACCGAGGACCAACGTCACGTGCCCACTACACATAGAACGCTGGGTGCATACGAAAAAATGGCTATATCCGTAGTATTCTTTCAATGGTTTGAAGTAAAGGATTCAAACATTTGGGCCAGGCATTTTGTGGTATGCCAAGAGGGCACGCAGAGTGGTCAGTTCTGAGGCACTAATTCGTGCTGGCGATCAAATTGGCATTAAACATGACCGAATTACCCATATAGTGTAGACGTCTGCTGAATGCGACATACTTCTGCACAGTCGAAACGAGTTTTTTACTTGTGTTCAGTAGTTTCGTCATTGCTTTGCAATCCAGGTCGACTCTCTTCAACAGTGCTTGGACAATCAATCAGTGGTAAAATTAGAAAGACTGTTCATAAATTTTTAAGTCAAAGGTATCAATTTTGTACTATTTAATATTTGTGTTAATTCTTGCCCCTTAAATCAAGCTATAATCAAATAATTGTGAGTATTTAAAAAAAGTATAGGTAGAGTAAATAGGCGATAATCTTCAGGTTTGCTGCCTACTTTCTGTTCTCATGGGGCACGCCAGAATTGTCGAACTCGGCATCATTATGTCAGCGACACTAATGCTCATTTCTGAACATATGAACGTATCGTCGACACAGCGAAGGATTAGGTTGATTGTGCTGGCACAAAACAAAATTTGAAGAGACGTTTGAGGGGGGTTGTCACTTATTTTTAATTCTGAACTGACATTTGGTATGGACTAGTGGCAAATCGCGCCGTTACATCCATTTGGGGAAGTGTGTCGACGATTTGTTTAGCTTGCTTATTTAAAAGACAAAATATAGCTCTTCCTCACATGTCAAGTGGTATGTGTAGGGGTCGGATGTTTCCCTTACATCATGGAATTTTGATCATCATCACCCACCCGCCCCACAATGCCGAAATCCCAAAAACGAGCGTCTATGCTAGCACTCACACATGCGTGCGACAGCAGCGGTAGCGAACAGCCGGACTTTTTCTTTGCAATCTGACAGTGGCATGAAAAAGTGCGACCACAGTGTTAAGTGGCTTTAAGTATGCACAATCGCAACCGGGAGAAAAGTTGTGGTCGGTTGACTGGCTTGTCGCGAAATTTGTACAACGATCATTTAACGGGACAGTGATTACTGTTGAGGAGTCGAACTATTATTTCTGCAATTGTTCTGAATAAAACTGCACGTTTTTTTGACTGTTAGGAATTCACAAACACTGACAAGTTCTGCACAACATCGGCAACTCCGACCAGTGGAGCAATGAAACATTTTCCGTGAGAAAAGCGACATTGAGAATAACCACTCGAATAAGCTCAAACGTTTTGAGAACTGGAAGCCACCACCCTAGCAAACGGCATCCTCACACCCTAAACGAATCCAGATATCAGACCCCAATTCCTACCAACTGATATCTGTTAAAACACCAGACCTACTACTAGTATTTCAGTAGATAAACGCCAGGTCTACAAAGTCACTTAAAGCAACCCATACTAGTGCAAATGATGGAGAGCCTTCATCGTGAAAGAACATATGACATGATCATGAAACAGTAGAAATCATTCCCAGGTGAGTTAACACTAGTTTTGAAAATGTAACACCTAACGGGAGCAAATCTGCATATCGTCAACCACCTAAGCCATGCATTTGACTTTGATGAGCACCTGTTCGCATCACGCGCACCCGCATTAAGGTATTGGTGTGGCACAATCACAGTTAGTGATAACTGAGATGGCTCTTCATGAGTTCAGCCCCAGCTACTTTGGCAGACAGATTAAACGAGCTTTTGTTAGGAATTTTCGTAAAAAAACTGATGAAAAGCAGTCATCGCCGGCTCTTGCCAAAGACGGCATTTAAGTAAAGCCAAGTCAGAGATGATCACAAATACCATTTAGTTGACAAGAAATTCAGTTTATAAATACTAGCTGCATGAATTAATCAAACAAGGGAGAGGAGCGCAAACATGGAGGATATAGAAGACAGGCAGAGAACGAAAGGCAGACGTAGTTCATTCTGTGCTTGATACGATGGGCGACAGCGCAGACACAAATTGGCTTCCTTTGTAGATTCAGATCCAATTAAGCGCGGCGACTTTACACTGAACACATGAAACATCATAGTAATGTAGTGACGTTGATGAAAGTCATATTCATGATTTCGACTCAAATTAACAAAAATAAAGTTAACAGCTTACGGAATGATCCAAGTGAATTTCGATCGAGCGTAACGTTATAAAAAGTAACTGAGGTTATGTATTGGCATCAGTAAGGCTAACTTATCTAGGTCACAAATAGACCAAGACGAAGTAAACATACCTCAAATGAAAGTAGACTGCAGAATGTAGATTACGTTGTCCGGTTAGTCCAAATATTTGACAGTCATGCCAGCGCGTTAGGAAACTACAAGAGCGCTCACACTCCCAAAAGAAACAAGGGCATTGATCCACGATGTTGTAACTACGTTACTCCACTTGTTCGCCTTCTCAAACCCACGGAGTCCAGCCCTCAAACATGGTCGAAAGATGTTTGGGGTCCATGGCCGTGCGCACACAGAGGTCTGCCTGCTCTGTGAGACTCATTACTGAGGCGTCATCTTCCTTTCTCAGTAGATCGTCCACGCCTTTGAGACGACGACAAAGTCGACGTAACGCTTCAATCGCCTCAGACGAAACCTGTTCATTTTTTAGAGTGTTGCTCGAAGATGCAATAATCTATGATATTGGAGCAAAAAGGACCAAATTTTAGGATTTGCTACTAATTTCACTGTACCAGCCAACAGGTTCAGATTTGTAAGTCAGCATGAGCGTGAATGGTAGGCAGTATTCAAAGAAGGAATAAATAATCAGACCAGCAAAAACGAAAGTGTATAAAGACAAAATTCGCGCTTTCGAATTACAAAGAGCAAACAAGACTTACTTCGCGACCATCAGAAGGAGCGAGCTCAGACAACTTCAATTCAGCATCGAGTTCGTGACCCTTCTCACCAAACCCCAACTCCCGAATAGTCGCAAAAACTTTTACAGAGTTGGTCTTTTTCAAAGTAGTCAAAATGCCTGTTTCAATAAGGTTCACAAGGAGAGGTGTCAAATCGGTGCGCAGAAGCAGGCAATCGCTAAGACTAAGTTTGACAGAGGAGAATACTGCCTCATCAGTCTCATTTGGATTGGTGACCAAGCCAGTGAGTAAATCAGAAAAGTTTTGAATCAGTCGATCAGACGTCACCAACCACGAATCCTGATGGTCTAACCACTTAGACCAAATACGCTCACACTCAGCATCATTGCATAGTTGGCTGAGGCGAATCAATTGCTTAACGTAAGGGCGCATCTGGAAGGGGAAAATAAGTAATAAAAAAATAATGACAAACCAAATGCTCCCACTTTCTTAAATGCAGCGTTAATTGGTTTTAACTATGTAGAAAAAGAATACACACCTCTGATAAGAAATTTGTTTTAAAATCACAGAATAGCTGGCGAATCACTGCAACCTCAGCGACATCCCCCTTGTAATCTTGATTTTGTGACGAAGTGAAGGCGCTTTTCTTCTTTTTTCTAGTAGCGAAAGCTCTAGAAGTAGTGAGTGCATCGTCGGCAGTCGTGAGTGCCAACTTGAGCGAGCATAGGCGTGCAGCAGAGTCTTCAAACTCCTTCTGAGCTTCAATCAGACGGGAAGATATTGCATCAACAAGTCTAATATTTGTGCCACATGGACCGGACAGAATGACTTCAGTCCACTCAGTTGCTGGCCAAGTAAGATCATACTCATCCTAAAAGTCACAATGAACGAACTACAAGTGATAAAGTAACACCAAATGACATAAGACGCTAAATACATTCACACAGTACAGCACGCACATTAATGAGGAGCTATTTGGTACCACTAACAGACCAATCTAACGACATGAATGAAAGTGTAAAATATTTTTATCCTGTTCCAAAGAACTCCATCTACAAAATCTGATAGACTGCATGAAAATCGAATACCTTCAAATTGAGCAGAATAGAATCAAGCGCAGTAAGTTCGTCTCCAAACCGGGTGTACGCCTCACATTGAGAATCGTAATTAGCAAAAAGCGGAAGCAACTCGTCCATGCAAGGTGAGTCGCTAAAACGCGGAGATGTGAATAAAGGAAATAATAAGTTCTAAGAGAAGGCGTAAAGGTTGCATCAACACAAATGCCGAGTTAAGCAACTTGGAACACAAATAGTTATGGACTATGATAGGTAATCTGAGGAATTTCCTACGCAAATCTGAGCAGCAAAAGGTGAAAAATGATTCCTAAGGGAAACGAAATTGCTTACCAAAGGCGGTCGTATTCAGCTGAACAAATGGCATCCCCCAATTCACAAAGTTCTCTTGTTGATTCATTCAACTGGCCACCTACAACTCTCACATTCGCCACAGACGTTTCAAGACGATTCAAAAAATGACGGAGAGACGTGTCTGATTCATCCTGAGAATCATGAAGCCAGTCAAAGACCCGTTTCAACCTCTGAACTAGCTTGACATGGGCCTCATGAGCATTGATTTGCCTCGCAGCAACAGCCGTGTACATATGAGAATTGGTCGAAGTGAACATGCCTGTCAACACGGACCCTGCTGTAGCCGACAGTGCATGAACTTCGGGTGGTTGCACACTGAAGAAGCAGAGTTCTACTGAATGAATCATCCTATCAATGAAGACAGTTGGCGGACCTCGCAGATGCGACAAAGGCATCATACGCTCAATTTCAAAAATCGCCTGTCTAACGGTGAATCCCGACTCCTCCAAGAGAGACAAAAGCAAACGACCACATGCCAGCACCGTTTCACTCACAAGAGCCAAGCGATTAGCCAAATGAGTGATGAATTCACTTTCCAAAACGGTGGCATATGGGGCTGAAGGTATGGGATGCCGGAGTTTCCCGTCTCGAATACCCATCCACAGTTGACTGATGTCAATAGCGACTTTTAGACTAGAGACCATGCCAGCTGCATATACTTCATCCAGCCACGTAGTGGCAATACTGTGCTCAGCGACGGGACGCCAGCCCCAGAGACTCGTTGCACCCTGTTCGACAGCACATCGACTCTGGAGATTGGTGATTGCTCGGGAGATTATATCTACGTGCACCCATGCTACCGCAGTGATAGGATAATCATTCAATCTCCGACACAGCTCCTCCATCTCCGAAGTAGCATTCACAAAAGCAAGATGAATTGCTAAAAAGACTTCCGATAATGAGCTGGTATTATTTTCGGTAAGAAGTCCATTCACTTTATTTTGAATCTCCTCAACTTCTCCACCACCATCCATTATCTGCTGGAGACAATCCAAAAGTCCTAATTCTGTGCACGAAGCTTCCAGAATAGCATCTTCTAGTTTTGGTAAAAGAAGGTTACATAGGTTGTCGCGAAGCTCAACTAATTTGGTAATCAGCTGATATATGGTGAGGAAAAAGTTCAATTCACAGTTAGCGTCCGCCTCGTGGCCAGCCCAGAATGGTATTGCGGATGAACTGCCAGAGGGATCAAGAACAGAGAAGGCACAAGCAACAGCGCTGACGCGTTGATGAAGAAAATCAATATGCTCTAGCGGCTCCAATGTAAGAGTAGAATGGATCATGGCAGCAAGATTCTTGATTAGTGCCCACTTGAAAGCAGGCAGAATCATCACAGCATCTTGCTCACTAATAAAGGCGGTCAAAGTAGTCTCACTCTGAGTGAGGAGAGAGGAGAGATCGTTTGGAACAAATGAGGATGGAATGAAATGCTGAGACTTTAGAGTGCTAAGCTGGGTCTCAGCCTCCGTCAGTACGCTTTGTAGACGAGCGTATCTAAGTCTATCGATCAAAGAATGTGAAGGAGGATGGAAGAAATTTGCAAATGACGACGTGATAGTACCCTTGGAAATTGAAGAATCAAGAGCCTGCCGAAGTGCCAATATGAGTTGACGTTTTGTAGAGAACCAAAGGGTGTTTTCGACGGTGAAATGGAGTGGAGAATCGTTCGGCACGATGTATGCTCGAGCAGTACTTCGATACTCATTAATAAGCTTAGTAAGATTTTCGTCAGCATCCTCAGGGAGACTAAAACCTTCTGAACCCTTGGAAAGCCATTTGGTTAGAAGACGTAAGGCGCACCCGATGTCATGCTCTACGGTGGTTGCAAAATCAAGTAAACATATCTTTGCTTTCAATACCTGATTCTTCGCTCGTTCGATTTCAGTCCAACGCGACTCAAACCCTGCAAGCTCCTCGCTCGAGTTACCGCTAAGAATGACAAGTTGCTGCTTAAGTCCTTCAACCTTTAATTGCTTTTCTTGGTAGGTAATCCAAACTTTAAGATTGCTCTCAAGCACATTCATGGTCGAATAGAGTTGCTCGCAGAGTCCCCTGTTAGGAACTATGACTTCTGCAAATCGAGCGGCCAATAGCCCTTACAAAAAAGAGAATTGTTTAAAAAGTGAAATTAGAAAGGCGAATGTGATTGGTTACAGCTTACCTGCAGACCTCTGCAATTCCACAGATAGCCTCTCAAAAACACGCCGTCTCTTTGTAATAGGTTCTCGATCACCAGGGGATAAAGCGTCAGCTGAAGTCGATAAACATCCACCCCGATATGCTGCAAAGTATGTGAGATCAAAAGTGCTCCAGGCTGGTCCTTTAGTGGTTGCCCGCATCCAATCGGTAAGAGGATCAATCGCGAAACTTTGCAGCTGAATACGAAAGAGCTCCTGAATCGATGCACAAGTACTAAGGGTTTCGAGAAAATTAGCTCCAAAAGTGCCCCCACCACCAGAGGCAATAGAAGAGGGGTCACACAGAGGTCCCAAAGGGTGCCGAAGAATTCTTGTGAAGCGGAAGGGAACCAGCTCAGGTACTCGCAATGAACGGCCCTCATCAAAACAGACGTTAAAGTCGATGTGGATGAGTGTCCCTGTAGTGAGATCGATTAAGAGATTATCCAAATGACGATCACCAAGACCGATGAGGTAGCCAAAAGCTGACGTGATCCCCAAGGAAGAGGCAAAGGTTTGCGAAGCTTGCCACCATGCAGACATGTTTGGACTTGCAGCCCATAGTTCACGAGTCAATAAATCAGCTGGCGTCTCCGACTCCAGTGCATGGAACACCTGAAATCAGTTTCCGTTATCAAATAGAAGAAATCGACAGAGCAAACACCTCTCAATAAATAGAACTACTTTGCAGAGAACCTGTGTGGAAAAATTGGATGTATATGTGTACGAATATAGGTGGCCCAAAATACCTCCATTGCCCTAAGAGCATGAAGGCGAAAATTACCTTAAGAAGAACATCTTTGGGCCATAGTGAGCGTGCGCTGGACGAAGTGAGAGAAGGTGGCAAAAACTCCTTCAATTTGTTGTAGAATAATTCAGAGGGTTTTGGCAGTGCCAGTTTGGTGGGATCGGAGACCATGCCACTGGGAGCTGCATCGGTTACCTTCCTCTGCTGCCAGCGCTTGTAGAGAGTAAAGAGAGGCATTGCACCCTGCACCATCTGGATCAGACCTGCTTTTGGACCAATGGGAGTCACTGAATAGGTGCGCGCGGTGGTAGCAGCACCCCTACGAACCCGAGACCGAAAAGCAGTGTTTGTCAGTTGCATGAGACCCATTATACGCGCGTCCAAGCGCAGATCTTCGAGACACTTGAGAAGGTAAGGGAAGGACTGACCTTCCTCGGTCCAGAACACCACGCGCTTGGGTCGTGTCTTCGTTGGATATACGCTGATTCTAGGTCCCAATCGAGCAAGGTGAAAGTGAGGCCGACCAGGCAATGGAATTTCCAGATTTCCATTAAGAGCAAAGAGGTTAGGAGAGATTTGAAATAGACTCAAAAATCGACTTGAAATTGTCAGACATCGAGCCTTCCCAGCATCGCCTTTTTTGGTCTTCTGATTGAGAGTCTGGAAACGTGATAGCAGTCTCTGAAGAGACACGACAGGTGATGTTTTGCAGTTTGATATTGATGAACGACAGAACTTCTTCAGCGAGGCAATAGTTTCGTCGATGTGCTACGAAGGGGTAAATACAGGTTTAGTAACAACATTAATGTATACATTTTCATTCTAAAAAAACATCCACTTTATGAAATCCATTTTTAATAAAGAAGTAGACTGAAAACGAGAGGCAAAAAACTGATCAGCTTCAAAACATAGAACCAAGAATATTGCCATTAGTTAACCGAGCAAGTGGTGCAATAAAGCGTTCGTAGTGAGAGAAAACGTACCTGTTTGAAGGTGCTCTGGAACCAAGCCTCATGACGCGTTTGGACAGGCGCATCAAGGGTCAGGGCACGAAGGTGTTGAAAGATAGTAAAGGTGGGCGACAACAGAGCCTCATAACGCAGTTTATGGATGGTATTCAGGCGGATCATTTCGGCTTCTATTGCACTCGGATCCTCAATCGCTTTGGCAGGTGACATTGAAGCGTCTGCTGCAGTCGCATTTTTGACTTCCTCCAGTCCATTCACCTAAACGATGAGAATGGAATAAGATAGGTTACTTAAAGCGCCTTTAAAACATCAACATGGAATAAGCACTAAAACACAAGACATGCCTTTCTGTTCAAATCGTCAATATGCTGGATTAGAACGCCAGACCAAAGTTCCTCCCAAAGAACCGCAATGCGCCGCATTTCCACGATAAACGAGGATACCTGTTCCACCATGGCTCCATATCCAGCATCACAAAGTGTTGAAACTAGCTTTCCATGACTCCGTGTACGGACATCCAGCTGTGCTGTTTGTGGAAGTACAAAATATTGCTTAATGTAGCATCAGTAATGAAATTCATCACAACGACAGAGGATAAAATTGGGAAGCAGTGAAACGGTGCAGAAAAAAGGGATATATTAAACTCACCACAATCGACTCCCTTGCTACCGACAATGATAGGAAAGACCAGTTGATTTGCTAGAATTCGATCGGTACTAGGAGAATCTCGATTAGTCATACGAATAAGACGACTGAGAAGATCCACAAGGCACTGACGGACTGCAGGATCGGGGTGCCCTAAACGATCCAGGACTTGGGGGAGACAGCCCGCCCACATCAGTGGTGCCGAATGGATAGTAGTAAGTGGTGGTGGGGACAGTAGGACCGAGTCATTTGAACTGCCATGGACCACAAGGTTCCTTACCGTGACACGCAAGGATCGGCACGGTTCATCAAGTAAGTGTAGTAGTCGTAGGGTGGCTAAAAGGAAAAATTGAAATTGGCATAACGCAAGATTCATAGCAATCTAATGTTATTAACACCAGAATCCATAACTAACAGGGAACCAGATACCCAGAAGCTGTTGGATTAGTTACTTGGCGTATTAGAGAGCGGAGAACAGAGAAGAACCTAGACAATAAATAAATTACCTAGCGTTGGTTGAATTGGTTGAATGCATTCCCGAGGCTTTGAAGTGCTTTCTAACACATCGACTCCGTCATTTGTATGTTGTCCAGCAACCGAAAGAAATGTCACGTAGGCTTGCGCAGCAAACGATTGTAGTGTATAGAGCCTTGTTGTCAACAACGAGGCAAGTGATGCACATCCCGACAATAGAGGACCATCCAAGGCTAGAGCCTCACTGGTAAGACTGGTGCCATCCAACAGGTGATCAACAAAGCGGGACCTCAACTGAAGAAATTTCGCCCACTAGGACCATATCAAGCAAGATGCAAGACGGCAAAGACTAGACATTAAACTTACCGGGTCATTAACTGGAATGCCAGCATCAGAGAGGTCGTCGATACAATACTGGCGCGAAGTTAAATCATCGGCATCGTCGTGGAGAAAAGTGTACAGCTTGGCCAAAATCCGGGCCTCAACTGATTTGTCCTCATTTATGATTTTGGATGATAAAAGCTGAGAAAGCGATTCACATTCATCTGGAGTGAGTGCATCAAATAGTGTAGTCGTTATTGGCTCAGACTGCGGGAACTCGAGGACTCTCATTGCCTCTGCCTTTGTCTGATTGACCTAAAAGTGAGAAACAGTTGTAGTGCTGACAATGAATTGATTAGATGTGAAAATAGTGCATAAAAAGAATAAGCATAAGACCTGCAACGGTGCAACATAACGCATTGGAATGGAGGTAAACATACATCATGGTGACCTCTCTCATAGCACCAATGAGCCATTTGGAGCCAAGCTAAAGCAGAGGCGTTAGTTGGTGAGAGGTGCGTGGCAAACATAAGAAGGCGCATTTGAAGTTCTGAAGGTGAAGAGGCTGTGGCAGTTTCGATTTCAGCATTGGAAGAAACGAGTGGGACGCCGTCTACCCAAGCAGAGGATGCAAGATGACCGAATTGAAGTAGATGTCGCACCAGACACTGTGCAGCCCCCTTAGCGGTGACCTGCAAGTGGGATTGCATAGTGCAGAGTTTTGCAGTAGGGAGCCTTTAGAGCAATCGATAATGCGAAACTTTAACCATTAAATGATGCAACACCATCAAACTTATGCACCTAAATGTTGAAATGCGCATAGACAAAAGGCGTTTCAGTCTGCTAAACGAAAGCCCTAACCACAAGTGCGTTGAAGTCCATGTTTCAAAGAATAAAAGAGATACAAAGGTAAGGAAATGTACTTACCACTTCACAAACGCCAGCTTCGGAAGCGCAAGTGCAGAAGACCTCCTGACACATGGTTCTGACTTCTCCTTCCTGGGTGGAAAAAGTACAGGCCAGAAACTTGAACAACTGCAGAGCAACTGAAACGTTGAGCAAGCACTGCTTTGCATGTTCAATGCTATTCGATGTATCAGCGCCCAACACACTACGCAGAAGGCCTTCAGACAAGCAGGCCATAGCAGCGATACGGTCGTCATTACCACGATCTGACGTCCAGAGAAGATTTCCAATATAACGAATTAGACGCATTCGGTCAAAACTTGAAAAGTCAATTCTCGAATTTATGATACTAACAAGTTTGTCGTAGTTTGTTATCTCCTCCTGTATATCAAGAGCAACGAGCTGCTGCTTCAGCAAATTCAGTGCAATGCCTCTGGAGGAGTCGACCGGTAAGTAATCGTCACTACGAGGAATGAGAAGGGGCTCACAGGCATCGAGAAATACTGAAAGACTTCCATTCTTCTTTGCCAACAGGCTCCAAGTGCCAACGCAAATGTCACCGACAGTGCATAGAGAGGGAGATTGGTTGAAAAGAAGATCGGCCTCAAGGGTAAGACTCGAAAGAGATGGCTCTGGATCCAAGTGGGGAACGCCGTGGCAATCTCGGTAGTTGCAGAAATTAACCAAAGAAACAACTGCGGTGGCAGTTTGACGAACAGCATTCATGACTTCAGAAACTGAATCTGAATGAAGTGATAGTAGCTTGTCCTCCTGCTCCGTGAGCATTGAGGCAACAGAATGGGAAGATGACGATACTGCAGACATAACACTATCCCATCTGCAATGAGGTACAAACCAAGATTGTAAAATCTGAATCAGTAAAGGATTCATAAGATCATTTGAAAATGTATCTGAACGCATAGGTTGAATTACCAACCAGTCGAAGAAAAAAGCAGAACGAGTTTTTAAAGACGATTTAGGATAGAAAAAAGTTTTCAGCATAAGAAAATACGAAGTGGAAATTAGCATACGTGGATAGCTTCTGCAGAGTTTGAAGTCGCTGCTCAGAAATGGCGGAAAAACGAAGGGGTAACTCATCCACCACTTTCTTTTTGCCATTGTTAGCAAGAATTTTCCGCTTGACCATCGGAGTATCACCTTGATTAGTGCAAGCCTCAGGGCTGTCAGAGAGGTCTTTCTTGATACACAAATGGAGGACAGCCTCGCTGGGGTAACCCAAACGCACAAGGAGGGCGGTAAAGAGACGCCGTGCAAATTCATAGGAGAGTGAACCTAATGAATCTGATGACAGTGGTGGTGGATGGGATTCAAAGAACGTCGAGAAAGATGACAAGCCCACATCCAAGCGTCCTTTCATTACGCAAACGAGACCATGCACCCAGCTATAGAGGTGCACTCCTGGCTTGACCGAGTTCATTGCAATGCGTTCAAGACATCTAGAAGGAGAAAATGAAATGTCAGACTACATTAGGGTAAAATAGAATTCTTCAGTTCAACTTGACAATTTTATCACAGCAATATAAGGTTGCTCCTTTCAACTGAAATTAAATCAATTCATCAAATATTGAGCATTACTCCAAGCCTCAAAATTTGGTAATAAATCGAAGCCAGCGATAGCGAACCCTGCATTTCACGTAGTAAACACACCTCACGCAGCAGCAAGCGTGAGCTACAATCTACTACAGTCAAACATTAAGACCAAGCCTGGCGCTAAAAAGACCACGTACCTGTAGACAAGGGCAAGTTCATCAACTGCACCGAGATGATGTAGTGCTTGGATGACACAGAGTATGATTTTCTCAGGATTACCGAAGACCAAAATGTTGTTCAGCAGTTCAAGTGGATCACCAGTGGGCACCTGGTAAAGGAGAGCATAGATGTTCCAAATTACTGTTGCTGAAGCTTCAGATCCTTCAAGTGAAAGAGGAGCCAACCAGGCAGCCAAAGTGACCAAGGGCATTCGCACGCGATTAAACCACTGATGACAAGTCATCGCATTCGCTTTGAAGAAAGCATGCGCGGTAGGGAGGACGGGTGGAATAACAGCGGCGAATCCATCCACTGCGTTAGTTGTAGCTTTCTCTAGTAGATGCATAAAATTAATCACAAGGGCAGACTGGCTAATCTGCCGTGACAAAGACTGCCGAGCTACTACGGCTCCTGAGACGCCAATAAAGGCTTGCAATTCCGGAACCTGTGAATGCGTACAAGTTTGTTTCGTCAAATTGGATAAAAGTGCATGGATAATGGCTTCAATTGAGAGGAATGTTTTCACTGGATTCGCCCAGGGAGCCACTTTTAGTTTGTAGTCGACCATAGACCAAGTGGTGAACAAAAACACTAGGCTCAGGGGAGAAGTATCTGATGCATACCAATTAGTGCTACTATCCGTCGAAAGGGGTGAGATCAAACAAGCAAGACGACGTAGCCAGTCAGAGCAGTTGGTGAGAATTTCCAACCGACTTGTTCGCTCCTCAGATAGATATGGTGCACCTCGAGTGAGAATACCTAACACACCAGCGGCTGCAGGCAAACTCGGGAATGCACCTTGAGTTCGCAATAAGGTACCATTTTCTTTTGACGCACCAAAACTCGCTGGATTGATTGATGGACAAGTAACGAGCGAGGTAGAAAGTTCGAGACTTGTACTGAGATACCAATGAAGCATAATATTAGCGGCGCGAGCAGACTCAATCCTGGCCAACGAAGGACTGAAAACAAGAAGTAAGTCGGCCCCAGACGATTGAATGCGAGGAAGAGGGTGACTTATACACATGTAGGCAAGCTCCAATACTTTCGAGGATGCCGTCTTATTCTTCCAAATGCGAATCAAGACCCCAATGGCTTCAGAAAAATATGAACCATCATTAGCTCTAACGGGGGAGCAGGGATCTTGCATAAGACTAAGCAAGTAAATGCAGAAAGATCGAGAAAGCTGGGCTGCCAAAGAACCACTCAGTGTTTGAAGTAGGTGTTTGCTTAAAATAAGCTCCTGTAAATTATTTGATGCTGTTTTGAATAGCTGCTGGATGACCAAAAGCAGATCTCCACTGCATTCGACAGTGTGATCAATTCCATAGTTCAGTGTTGATAGTAGTGTCATCCAGAAGGCAAGGCGAACGCGCTGGGAAATTCTCGTAAAAAGAGCAAACTGGCGATGCAGGTCAGCAAGAATGAGAATTAATCTACTATTAGCAGCATTTGCAAGGGCTATTCGTTCAGGTTCATTGGAAACAGACTTCCAGATAGTTGCAAACAATGAGGCGCTGAAAAGAATAAGCAGATCGTTCTCCATATCTGTAGAGCATTTACTACTCGCAAGTTTAGTGCATGCTAGCTGGAAATCCGCAATGCACATTTCTATTATCATAACCAGCATATCACAACCGGACATACAGCGTTTGGATAAGTCACAGAGGAGATTAAAAATTGCCAAAGAGCCACTGCTACTTGTTTTCAGACGATGAAGCAATGTATCGTTCCCAAAAAGAATCTTAAATGTGGATATGGCCAAACCAGGCGAATCTTTTGGAGTCCGCTCAAGCAAACAATATGCAAGTTCACATAAGACCTTGATATGACGAGGAGAGAGCTGAAGAATTGAATCATTTGGCGGTTGACTCAGATATGCTCTAACATTTTGCCCGAATTGATCGCCTTCAACTGGCATGAAAGATTCGGTAAAGAGGAGGATAGTGTGCACATGTTGCAATATACTTCCGTATGTTAACAGTGGAAGACAATAAGTCGGTGGTACGTAAGCTCGTGAGACTGAAGACGGTTTCGATCTGAGAACAACTACAGAGGATATCGACTCAAGTCCATGAAGAATACTCAACAGCCGTTTGTTCCAGCCAGGAAAATCAAGGGACGCAAATTTTATGGATTCAGATTGATGTGACAATGAGATGTACTTTTTAACTCCCAAACAAATGCCGGCCAAAACAGCGAAGTATAGATTAGTCGCTATGAGTTTTTGCGATATCTCAGTTGAAGCAAAGGGAGTCTGTGCACTGCGTCGAGAAACAGAACCTGAGCCAATCTGGCGGTACTCGTTTACAGCCTTTTGTAGGGATGCGTCGGCATCTTCCAGCAGATGTCCAAGCATATCACAGGTGGTCTCTGTAAGTACATGGCCGACGTTTGGATTTGGCAAATCAAACCACCATTGATTCAAATTGTAAGAAAGTTCGGACAAAAGCGAACCGACATCAACACCACGATAACCACTTGAAGCGTCCACACACCATCCAATAAGGATGTCCGCCAAGTCTGAAAATCTCTTGCTGAATTCCAACTGATTGTGAGTACCCACCAATGATATAAAACGAGCAAGACGTGAGACATTTTCAGCTTGATCAAGAGAATCCGTTAACGCAACAAGATCAGATATTAATGCGGCAGTTATCTGACAAACTCGTACATCGGAGGGTCTACTTTGCTGACACCCAGTAGACGAACTGCAATTAGCTAAAATGCGACTAATAAATGAAAGTATTCCGGATCGATATTGGGAAGATGTGTTGCAAGACAGGCTCCGCAACATTCGAGCGACGTAGGCCACTTTCGGTTCACAGGAACTGCCGCCTAACGGTGATGATTCTGACAGACTGCAGGATGATTCTGCATCTGACTCCACTTTAACATCTTCCGGCACATAAAGTCCGTACAAAATAACCAAACGGGTGCAAATATCTCCAATTAGAGAAATTAATCGGAACGGGCAGTGCTTTTCACAGGCAGTAATTTCCAAAATACGCAAATGAGTCTCGACAGACCGAAGTCCATTGGAGGCAGCGCCACGCCTGGTAATTCTAGCAGATTTCGATAAAGGAAAATCAAATGAATCAAGCAATTCAATCAGCTGTTTCGCAGAGGATATACGAAATCTTTGCGGCAAGTTGGCACTGATCAGCCTTTTTAAAAGTTGATTAAACTTGCCGTAATGGCGACTGGGGAATGGGACAGGAAGACTCTGCATTTGTGATGTGAGCTCCCACTTTTGTCGGGAAAGATCAAAGTCATAGCCATAGCTTTGAAACTGCAGTTGCTTAATAAGTGAATTAGTATGGAAGTCGATGAAACAGCTGGAACCAGATATTGACAGCTGAGCCATTTGTACACCAATATTGGATTCGTTAAAGTTTTTATGATCGAATTTCGATGAGAAATTTTCCGAAAATTTTTTCCGTCTGAAGCCAATATCGCTGGGAGGGCAACTTTTCTGAGTCGATTGAATCAAAATAGCCTTTTGTGAAAAAAAACAAATATAGTAGACAAGCAAAACGACAGTGCCAATTTAAAATAAGTATGTAATGTGTTGTCAAGTATTAGACATTTACAAGCGGTGGGAGATTTGTGAAGTAAGCGATCAAAATTGACACGGCTGATCATGGCCAGCAAAAGATAATGCATTACACATCAAAACACACCTCAGTTCTATCATCAAATGACGCGCCAAGCTGTATCAATTTGCGTACAGTATCCCACATATGTGTTGACTGAGCAAGAAGCAAAGGAGTTTCATTTTTCTAAAACCCCGTCAACTGTAACACCGCAGTACCTTTGTGTATACGTCGACGTCGGCTCCGCTTGCAACAAGCATATCAACTGTTGTAACGTGACCACGCCTTGCAGCAAAGTGAATTGGCCTCCACCCCAACTACAGAAAATAAGTAATTAGTCGATTAACCCACATTTGTTGATGCATTCGGGTTGGCTTTGTTATTTAAAAACCAACGCACGACTTCCTTATTCCCAATGTACGCGGCGAGAATTAAACCGGTTACATTTTTGTGCTACAAATCAGGCTAAACAAAGCACATACCTCCACTTCGCTGATAGAGTGTGATGTGACGACATCGATGCTTTCAAGATTCTTTGATAACCTTTGAATAGTTGATAGTTTCGATCTTCTTATAGCCAAAAACCAATCGCTCAAATCTCCCACGCATTTTTCCATAAAGTTAGATGACCCAACTCCAAATACACCAGCAAGAAATCAGACACAATGTCACACTAGGTTGCAAATCAAATATCGCGGATCGATATATGGGGCGACTATAACACAACATCATTTTTGGGGAAGCCATAGGTTAAAAACATCTTGAAACTTTAAATCCCTTTACAGTTTTTGCATTTACGCTAAATAATTTTTTAAATAAAAAAACTTATTAGAATTTTGATCTGTATTCATCGAGTTTATATATCTGCGAATGTCACCAGCATGTACACGAAACTCGATATTTTCTCTCGCTACAGATTGCATACGAATAAATGTAAACGCACTTTGTCAAGGTATAATTGTATTTACTGTCTGTCTACCCTCTGAGCCCTGGTTCCCAGACTTTAAGTGGAAGTTGGTTGTAGACGATTTATTAGGCACCGCTGTCAGGAAGGATGGGGAATATGACACAGATGAGGTAAGTAAGAGAGGCTCCTCGCCGACTTCACGCATGTGATCCACATTCCCAATTGGTTCCCGCCTCTCATCTATAAAAGTTCACTTGAACAAGCTAGAATATATTACACAGCCCCCTTCCCTTTCAAGCACCGTCCCCGATGCTGACCAGTGGGATTCAATCGGACGCATGCTCTTTTTCTGGTACCGCATAGACTTCGCCTTCGTAACCTTCTGGGGATGGACCCGTATATGCCCTAATCTCGTTATGATGTACTGTTTGAGGCCGAGTAACGATCTCCGCGTTCCGGACGAGATAATTCGTGGGCGGCAGGACTTTGATTATCCGGTAGGGTTCCTTGCTCCAGGGGTGGTAGAATTTCCGATGGGTTCCTGGCGGGGGGATTGGTCTATACAATTGCACCAAGTCACTCTCTTTAAAGACGCTTGTTCGGCTCTGTCTATCGTATGCTTTCTGCAGTTGTCTGCGCGCAAATTCCAAAACTTTCCTGAGGTTCTCTTTTAGTCGCAAGACGCACTGAGGTGCATTATCCCCTGTCGGTTTCTTACGG